CTGATCGTTTGACACATTTACCAGAATTTACCAGTAAAAAATCTTCGGATTAAAACTGGTAACTTCTGACAAAGAGAGAACCCCTTTTACTCTGTCATTTGTCCTCTCAGTTGCCAGATAACCGATTACGGGATCAATTTCCAGTAAAATCTGCTAAAAAATGGTAAGTTCGGACTCATACGAGATAACAACTAATATTTGGCCATTAACGTAATGCGTTAGGTCTTTCATATTAACCTTTATATTTCCAAGTCGGAATTGTTTCGAACTCTCAATTTGAATTTTGAGGGAGCTAGTGCGACCAGAGCACTGAAGCAGGGACCACATGATATGTACATTTGTACAGCTTTGTACATTTTGGCAGTCACAGAATGGAGTTGTCTAGAAATCTCTATCGAGAATGAGTTCAGCTCAATAAGAAATTTCCAAACAACCCCACCCTTTAATTGTCAAATTTGCAAATCTGTACAAATCAAGGCATATTGAACATGTAGTAGCGGTAGAGCAGATGATTTTTTTTTTTTCAAATTATTTGGTCTCTAAAATGTCAAATCTTTTTAATTTCGTTTTACGAAAATTCTAAATTGTCAAAGTATATTTGCATGTTAAACCTTTTTTAATACAAAACAAGGTATTGAAAATCATGTTTTTGGTACGTTCGCTTAACTCAAGAGTTCAAATGCTGATTATGGGGCCTTGTAAAGGAACAAAAGGTGATAGAACCTTTAACTTCTGGCTGCTGGCTAGACAAGCTCTGACAAGCCGCTCCGATATAATGGTAAATTGGGAATTGTATGGAAATTCTGTTTATTAGTTCGACAGTTCATTAGGCGGTCCAGAATAACTGGATAGTAGCTGTTTAGAGCGAGCTTTCCGTTGGTCTAGGCGCCTCGATAATTTTCTTTCCTTTCTTTATTTCCGGCCGGAACATCGTCTATCTTTAATGTTCCCCGCAACATAGGACACAAGCAAAGGGGTTGCTAAAAGGCTTGCGGAACAGAGTCCAGGCATATAATCATTTCCGAGATTCCTCCTTCATAAGTTGAGTTTTTGAGTTATGAAATTCTTCCAGCAAGCAAGCGATTTTTTTATATTATAAGACTTTGGGACAATGCAACAAGGTCACTTTTTTCATTTTGCGAACAGTTGAGACTTCAAGGTCTTCTTCCCTGGGAAGAAGTGACTACAAATCTGATGTGATAATATGCCCCTTAGCGGACAATGGCAAATCTCTGATTGAACCTGAGTCATGAAAAATTTCTCATTAAAGCCATTCGCTTTTCGAAAATAACACGAATTTTATTTGTTCGACAAAAAATAAATTTTTTAATTTGGAATTTTATTTTCTTGATAGTTTTTAATCGTTATAATGGAGAATGCGTTCTTTATGATCTAAAAATTTTAATCTGAAAATAACGGTTAGGGTATGATTGAAAAAATAAGAATCAAAAATTGCGATAAAAAAAATAAAAACTATAGAACAGCGGTTAAGTTTCGTCGGGAAAATATAAATCCCATTATAACAGTTAAATTAATATTTTTATTATAAAAACCACAACCGTTACGGACCCTAGTAATAACATCAAGACGCACATCTCGAATTGAAGCGGAAGCTCGACCAAACAATTGACAAAATTGTGTTACAAAAATTTATGTATATTTTTGAACTAATATAAATACCTTCAGAATAATATTTTTTCTCTGTGCTGCAATACATTCCACGAAGAAAGTAGAACTTGTTGAGACTCTCGAATAAAACTAAATAAAGCCTCGCGACAATAATTACGAAACCCTGGACCTTTCACCATATCGTTGAGTTTGGATTAATGCACCTAGAAACCTGTTAACGATCAGGACTTTTATAGAATTGGCAATGCAATTGACTTTCCTAGGCCGAGCGAAGCAAACGAGTCTCTACTTGACCAAGACGTGGTGAAAACAGCGGCATTAATACAACTAAGCCTTTAAAATCGATCTACTTAGGTGCAACTGTTCAAAGACCGAAGAAAAAGGAAAAGGCATTGAGCCGGACGGCCGAAGACCGATTAATATTTCAAAAATAATTTTAATTTTCTGGTTTAAATACGTACTTGTGATGACGAATGAAACGTTCCTTTTTTTAAGTTGTTGCCTTATATATTTGTTTCCTTATACAATTTAAATGAAATCAATATTCTTTACATACTTTTACTTATTTTTTATATAGTACATACTTATTGTATATATTGTTTTATTGGAATTTATGTAGTAAAAAAGTATCTTTAAGCATTATTTTTATGAACAACAGTCTTTTCTTCAATTTTTTTTTTCAATTTTAACGCAAATTACTTGCACCTTTATGGCTACACATTTGCGCTCATTTTTTATATGTACATATGAATATTATTATAGGAAAAGGACAAACGACAAATACAGATGCGTACAAATGGATAAATGAACAAAAAAAAAAACGAATTACAGTTAAATTCTATAAATGTTTGTGTAAATGTATGTGGCAATAAGCACCATTCCAGTAGGCATATTTGTGAACACAAAAAATTTGTTTGTGAGTAATAACGACACGTCTATCNGCGTACAAATGGATAAATGAACAAAAAAAAAACGAATTACAGTTAAATTCTATAAATGTTTGTGTAAATGTATGTGGCAATAAGCACCATTCCAGTAGGCATATTTGTGAACACAAAAAATTAGTTTTGTGAGTAATAACGACACGTCTATTATTAATAAACTTAAAATGGTTTTTTCTCAGAATGTAAAGTAAAACATAAATATAAAATTAAATTTGTTACAGTTTCACGAACCTATAGATACACAAATTAAACTAAACGAGTTCAATATTTAGAAAATATATGGTTCTTTGTTACGCCAAATAACATTCTTATGGCCTTATTCATAAAAAATAAAGTAGCTTTAAAAAAGGTTTATAAACTGAAAAATGTATGAAAACGTCATTTTATAAAGCTCTTTAAACCTACTTTATTTTTTATGAATAAGGCCATTAAATTATATAATAGAATACGAATTTAGGTTAACGTATAAAAATGTATGTATTTTGCTATGTATACATACATATATAATTATGTATATGGTAATATAAAACGTCTTAATTGGATATTACAGCAAAGTTATCGACTAAAAATGTGAATCACAATCAATGCATTTACAAGCACACACACACCCGAAAATGCAATTCAATTGTTAAATATCAAATTTATCTGATATTAAAATGAAATGCAAAACATTAAATTTATTCATTAACATACAGAGAGAGGAACATCAAATTTGTGCCGATTGTTTTGGAGCTGGTTGGGGTCAGGTTGTCGAAGAGTTGTTGTCCGGTCATATCAATTGTCAACAATTAGGCCATTTGTGCATAGGCATACGTGCTGTATCGACGACGGCGATAGTAAATCAAAAAAATGTAGGAAAGCACTAACATGGCGCAGATAATCGATCCAAGAATAACTGGAAATATGAAATAAAAACACATAATTGCTTATATATTGGATTGCGTTGCATTTTTCATTTAGCACTCATGCTTACCCATTGCCATGCCAATATTAGCCTCATCGTACGTCATCATCATTGTACTCAATTTGCATTCCTGCTCCCAGTTCACAGGCAATATGTCTTTATAGATTTCGAGTGTTTTCTCCAGCGGACACGCAACGCCACAGTCAGGTATGCTCAGCAATGCCGGTTCGGCTGAAGTGTTCTTGTAGAAAATCGAAACAAATGGATGATTATTCTCATCTAGACGCAGCTCGAATAGTACGCACGCTGTGTAGCCTGGGCTTTTCAACTAAAAAATATTCCAAACATTTAAAATTAAATTAATTAAATTAAAAACTTTCTTACATTATACAACTTGAGTGCGTTTAAAACGTTCGCCACAGTTGTGTCGTGTGCGCTGTAAATCCACACAGAGCGATTGGGTTTCAGTGACCCACGCGCCTTATCGGCAAAACGGTGTAGCATCTCTTTTATCAATGGACCGATCTTGAGGCGCGCCATACGCCGCGTATACGTGCCTATAGAAAAGGCAAAGTCAGCTATATACGTCATATCTGCGCTGGGATACACCTTCTTGGCCCAATCGGGCAGCGTTCGATTATACAGTGCTTCAATGAAGAACGTGTTA